TCCTGTGTCATTCTGACAAAGTATTTATGTCATGATCTACATGAAGAAACCAGCAAATCTTGCCCGGGTAAGATTTGCTTTCGCTGAAGCATCCGCATCCTTCAAACATGGCAGCCGGGGCTTTTGCGAAAGCAGCGGAAAGCCACTGATGAAGTCTCGGGGTGTATTCAAGCACTGGCAGAGTGATGTAACGAATCCGCTGACATGTCGATGGTACATCATCCATTTCGCTTCACAAAGACATTGCACATGAGTACCAGCAGGTTTACCTGTCATAGAGGAGTGTTGCGTCCTTATCGGACACACCACACTGTAGATGCATGTCCATTTCGCGCTCATTCTCCTACATCCTAGCAAAGCCCCTGATCCGTGCTGAATAATCATTTGAGGCGTGACCCTAGCGTCAACTCTTGCTTCGGCACACCTTTCGAGCTTTCGGTGTTCAGGGTTCAAACGATGCAGAGAGGAGCAAATTTACAGTCGGATGGCCGGGGCGGCGGAGTGGAAAAGCCTGCAAGGCTGCGTGCAGCAAACGTCTCGTTCATGCACCGAAGTTCTCCAAGAACCCAAGGCAACTTCTGAAATTATTCTCTCCCGAGCACTCGCTCTCGCGGGAGGCTAGTTCAGTCTCCGTTTCCGTGTCTGACTGCCTATACCTCTCTCTCGCTCTCTCTTTTTTGGTTGGTTGTCTCTACGGTACTGTCACGGGTACACTCGCCTGTGTTCTATCTTCTCTTGGTGCGTTCTGTCAGGATTTGTGATGGACTAATGCGATCAGCATGTTGGTGATCATGATGATGATGCTTATCATGGCCACATCAAGCACAGTCCTGTTCTGTTTCTTCGCATGTAAAGAAACAGACCATGCCAATGCTCGCTGAAGTGGACATCGGAGCCTGAAGCTCCGCACATCCAGCCGACACGGCTTTCCCTGACTCGGACTCGGACGCAGGTGCCTGGACAACAGCAAGACCGGCAAGATCGTGGGAGCGATCGCCTTGATCACCTTTGCCTTAGGCATCCGACATGCAAGACATCAGACCAACAATCTGACAGCCGCGATTGTCGCCGGAATTAGTTTTCAGATGGAGCTGTAATATCTATGGTATCTCATTTGGAAAGATGGCTTTGCAAACAACAGGGGCAAGTCATTTGCATGGCATCGATGACGGCGACGCAAGAGTCGAAGCTTCGATTCGCCTGTCGTATCACGACGGAGCCCACCTCAGCAGAGTGCTTTACCCAGGCGCTGAACCAGAGCACGGGTGCTGCTTTCCCTTGGCGACATCCTCAGTGATCCACGGCATGAGGGGGAGAGCTGAGGGATGTCTGTATGGCTCCAGACTGACAGAGTGTTTTTGGAAGAGGGTCGGCCTAGAAAGGAAGCTTATGCTCCACCCTGTCGTTCAGATGCATTCTTGCCAACGGTTGTGGCATACTTTCTTTGCAGAGAAGAGCAAGAGCTTTGTTACATCTGAGCCCAGATGGTAAGCGCCTTGCATTGGTTCCACTTGCTTCTGACAAGAAGGGCTTGTATATAAACTATGAGCCCGGGGGGCAGCATGTATGAAGTTTCAAGGAGCTGAAAGCGTGGATCTTCTATGCTCCGAGTGCCATTTAATTCGACCGACCCGGCGCAGTTCTCAATGCCCAAAGTACGGGCACTGAGGTGGGCCTGGCTCTTCATCGGCCTGCTCGTTGCCGTCGGCGGCCTCCTCTGCCTTGCCTGCCTCTGTCGACCCGGCGCATTCGTCGGAGCTCGGAGCTTTGAGAAAGTTCAAACTAGTTCAAACTACATGGAAGGTGTTGGGTTTCAAGCTGCTTCCAGAATGTTGGGGAGCTGAAGATCAAAAGCTTCGGGTGCGATTGTGGAAGCGTAATCGATGAGCAAACAAGTATGGCGGTACCGCCGTAAACAAGGTGTGCGCGATCAGAAGGTGCCATGAAGAAGTGGTTCTGAGAAAAGTCCGAGAGAGGTGTAGGAGGTGGGAAAGCACCGACTGCTGACATCATCCAGCAACCGAGAGTCGAGTTTCTTCACCCGTGTAACCCACCCCTGTTGGCCAGGTTGTACGCAGAACAAGCGTGGCAAGCGGTCCAAGAGACTCGACGAGGCAAAGCAATGCAGGAGAACCGAAGCACAGGGCTCAGGATTCCGAGGCTGGAGGCTCGGGCTTCAAACCTTGACACAGAGCTTAGAGCCTGGAGCATCATGCGGTCTAGATTTCAGGCTGAGCTCAGGCTTTTGTCTGGGGTTCTTACAAAATCCCAGTTGGTCAGTCGGACTTGGTTGCAGTCCATCAACTTCAGTACTATCTCAAACTCCGAAGCCTACACTGTTTGCAGACTTCCTATAGACTTAATATGCCAGAAGTCACGAGACGTCGAAGCCGCTGCAGCCAGCGCTCGAAGCTCAGATTTGCCCAGATGCGACTTGCTAGTCCGAGACCCATGGGTTTGGCTTCCGGGTGTCCGCCGCGTCGCATCCGAGGCTGAGGCCCGTGTCCCTTTGACGGCAGGCGCAGCTTCCAGCAACCCCAAGGTGGGGTTCTCATACTCGTAGCAACTTTGTGCTGGTTGCTTTGGCCGGAAAGACTGCCTGCCCCTTTAAGTTTGACAGGCTTGCATGAGCGATGCCTGGCATTCTTGAAGAAGTTGTTGAAACTTGTTCCCTTAATTCTGCAGCTGCCTCAACTTTGGCTTGTTGCAGCTGAGACCGGTGCAACACCAAAAGAACAGCAAGTGACAAGCAGGAGACCAGCGCAGCAGAAAACTACTAAAATGCTTTCCCCAAGTACTGGCGAATTGAAAGCAGGCCTCGAAGGCCCTGCCCCCAAATATTGGCGGGATTCAGACACCAAAGAGAGCACGACGAAGTCGCTTACCAGCAAGTACTGGCAGCTGGAGGACCAGCACCGAAGTACTTTCCGCGAAATACTGGCGCGTTTTGGGCAGGAATCCCGGCCTCGAACGCACGCGGCAGACGAATCCTCTGCAAATGATAGGTTCCTTCCGGCAAAACTATGCACCACGCCACAGCGGCAGTCGTGCGCCCCGAGCATCCTGTGTAATTAAAGTAGGACGGAGAAGCAGCATCTATTGCATATAACAGGACGCAGACACAGCTTTTTTGATACTATGTAAGTTTTTAGTTGATCCGTGGGTGATTAAGATTTTGTTGATCCTGATTTTTTTGATCCGGGACCCGACCAACCCCGCTAAAAGGATGGAGAGTATGTGTAAAGACTACCATGCCTACCTCCAGCGTGACTGAGGACCTCTTCGACATGTTAGACAAGGACATCTCTGGGGCTGTGATTGGAGGTTTGGGCTTTAAGATGTCGGGGTTCAGGGCAGACGAGGCTTGGGTTGAATGGACAGCAAGTTCGAATGTGAAGCTGCTGTCTCCGTACGTATGCAGGCAGTAGCACAAAGCAAAGGCCGAGGCGTTCTTCGCGTTCACGCTGTGAACCGCAGCCGCATGCCTTCCACTTACCATATCCTCACCCCACTCCCGGCTTCGTCTCAATTGACGACTTTCCTTCCAGACTCCATCTTAATCCTGCTCCCAAACCGAACAGCAATCCGAAGCAACAAAAGCCAAGAGACCTGATTCTGAAAAGCCGTTATCGGTGATTTTGCAGCTGGAAAGCCGGAATACCGAAACATGTGTTGATCCGATACCACTAGACTCGAGATGCTTTGGAGTGCATGGTGCCGATGTCTGCGATGTTTTTGTTTCATAGGCTTGGATGGATGGATAGATGGATGGATGTACGTATATCGCCGGACACAGCAGGACCCAACGACACAACCGTGTATAGTAGGCCTCGCATGAAGCTGTGAGGACGGCGACGGTCAGCTTAGCCAAGCGGAGTTGATGGCTGCACGCCAGGCATTTGTTAAGGGAGTTGTTTTGGCTAGACGTTCTTATGAGGGCTTCCGACTGGGGCAGCATGTTCTTTTGTAGAGTGGCTTTGCTGCAGGGTCGGATCTTTGAGCATGAAGGCATCAAAACGTGGGATCGAGACGCCAAGCTGACTTAAGACCAGGCCCTAGGCTTTTCCTCAATCGTCACTTTTTATAAAAGCCTAAATGTGCCGCAGATGTTTGCTGGTTCCCCCAGCGCAGCGCCTGCAGGGAGCCCAGGGAGCCCAGACCGGAGGGCCGGAGAGTTTCCACGCCTCGATGAAGGGCTGAGAATTTCTTCAGATCGACGAGCTTCAAAGATGGCATGAACCTGGTCAGCCTCAGTGCCATAGCCGTGACCAGCCACCGTGTAAGAGTAAGTGTTTCTCTGCATGCGGTCGTCGGAAATTTCATGTTTCGGAGTGGTTGCAGCAAGCAGAGTCATGTGCTCATATGCTTAGATGCCTGCATCTAGACACACTTACATATGTAAATACACATACAAATGTACAAAACTACGGGTATATATGGTCAGGCGTCTGGCGTTCCCAGCCCCCCCCCCCAATGGTATGGTCTGATAGGGGTGGGGGGGGGGGGGGCTGGCGTGTGCGGAAAGGGGTTGGGGG